TAAGTAAAAATACTCCAAATATTTCATGTTGTACAATATTAAAATATGCGGTTTTTTTGAAAGGTGGTACTTTTATTTGAAAATTAATTTACAATTATCAATTCTTTTTCAAAAAACAAAAAAAAAATAGCGCTTTATGGATTTAACTTTAGCAATTGAAATGTTCCTACTTTTCCATGCAGAATACCTTAAAAGATAAAGATGTGGCATTTTTGAAAAACAATACTTAATTTGAAAAAAAAAGTCTAAACTCTTATTGGTTTTATTTTTGGTCATCTTTGGATTGCATTTGGCTACACGGGAAAATATACGTCTAACACTACTAATAATAGTATATTACTCCGTTCAAAATCGGTTTCTGATTGCAATGATTTATCGTCACTTTTGTTGCATATACAGAGTGTTCTACAGTGTATTCTTATGGAGCTATAGTATATATAATATACTATAATAGTTATTATAACTTTGTGAATATTCATTTTTTTTTTTTTTATTCGGGTTTTGGCACATATTTAGAAAAAAATTGTAATTTCTATTTTCATGCCTTAATTACTGAAAATAATAACTTTTTTTTCCACTTTTCAAAATTTTGTAACAAATATTACTCTACATAATTGAATGTAACATTTATTCATATCCGATCAATAGTTTCTTAGAAATAGCAGTTTTAATTTCTAGAAAATAGGTGTGAAAACACCTAGGCGATGAAAATATAAATTTTAGACAAAACAAAACCCGATTGAAAAAAGAAATGTAAAAAATAATGAATATTCACAGAATTATTAGTATGACATTGTAGGCACTCTGTATACCCATTATCTTATACCTTTTAAACATTCCGCCTACTATAATTACCTACTCATGGCGCAAAGTACGTAACGATTTTTATAAATAAAAAAGTAGGTAATTTAATATTCATTATTATATATTTTGAGTGGGAAAAGCAGTAGGTACCTATCAACTCTTTTTTTTTTTTTAAATATTTATAATTCAGTTAAAAGTAGTTGAATAAACAGGGGATTTTCACAGACTATTATAATATTGGTCTTTTCTAGACGTGGTTAAATTTTCAATGATTCTTGAGTTATTTATAGACATTTGACCTTTTCAAGTTTTTATTCGATTATATTTGGTATTATGTAGATAAAATTGTCTCGGCTGAGCAGCCAATGTTCGAAAAGTTTTAACACGAGGTTCATCATAAGTTGAACGGCGGCAGTAAAAGGAAAGTTGAGCGAAATAATGTAGATAGTAGTTTTTTATACACTTTTTTAACTTCAAATTTTGTTTTTTCCTTTTAAACCCACGCAGCGAATATTTTAATATTTAATAATAACGTAAATTAATATTACTCGTTTGAAATTTATGTATATACCTAAACAGTGTAGATTTTATGAGTTTTTTTTTTCTAATTTAACCTATATATTTACTAAATGATGATTATTTTAGTTTTGAAACAATAATGATCGAACAAAAAAGTTGTTCTCGCAGTTTCCAACGAAATAGGTATACGTGTTAAAATTTTTTAATACACAAGGTTCAATGTTTTATATAATATTATATTATAGTGCCTGGCGTCTGCGGTGTATATTATACGGATATCATTTTCGTCAAGTTCTTTCACCTGTTAATCCGGTTTTTTTTTTACATTTTCTAATTAAATTATTTGTCCATATTTCGTTTTTTTCCCTCCCGTTTTCTAGTTGGATATATTAAAAAAACTTTTTTTTTAATTATCACGACGATATCGACGGTAAAATATCTAATAATAATCATAATACAATACTCGTATAATATTATTATCTACTTGTGTTATATTATACGGTATACTACAGTCGCCGCGAAAGTATGGACACACAATACAATAATATCGTTTAATGTTATTATTTCAACATCCCTGCAGTTCCGTGTCAGATGGGGGCGTGAATATAGTATTGGTGGTTCACTCTGAACCACCAATAATTTGTAGGGAAGGGGTGGGTGTTTGGTCGTTCAAATGTCGACAAAATTTTCACGAACCGAGTTTATACAGAAAATCCTAATGGCGGGTTCCAACAGCGGATGGCTGGGCGAACTCGTCGCGACACACTTGTTGTACCGAGCCTCTATACACAGTGGATCCAGAGTTGAATTTTTCGGGGTGGGAATCGTAAAAAAAAAAAAGAAAAATAGATGATACCGGAGATGGGTATGCAGCCACTGTTGCAGGCGGGAAGTTGAGAAGGTATAGGACACATAAGGTTATCGGCTATTTGATATGTACGAGCACCGATAAGCCGATTGATAACTTATTTTCGATTGGAGTGAATTTGTTCAGACTGGAAAAAAAAAAAATAAAAAAAAATACATCGACCAATAAATTCGTCGCTCCGTTCCGCTGTTGTTCCTTGGAAATCTCGAATTATATATATATACGTTAAACAATCGAATCTTTTGCGGAAGTAACGACTTGTGTATAGTTTTTTAGTCTGGGGGGGGGAGCGAGGCCCCTGGCCCCCATCCCTCAGGATCCGTCACCGTCGACGTCTACGCCGTTCCTGCGGCACGTGGCTCAACGAGCCTGTCCAAACGCCTAACCGGCCCGAGTTCCCTGAAAATCGTAAAACGCTGTTAAAGTACGCGGCTCGTTTACCATTTGAAGCGGACGCAACTCGCCGAAAACGTCGTTTCGCGTGGCCACGCGAGCTTTGCAGGCCCGACCGCGCCGAGTGTAGACGAACGCCGGAGCGTTCCCACGGCACGCGCGGCGCACCGCCGGGCAGCCGGTTTCTCCGGCACCGGTCTAGCCGTGGGAACCCGTAATGATTCGATTCCGAAACCGTAATATACCCCTAGGTGGGTATACGTGCTGCAGTATCGTTGTCGGAACCGAATAACAACAATTATATTGTTATGATCGTTCGCGCGGGGCGGGTATACTAGGTGCGTATTATTTTACACCACCCGAACCGCCCGCCGCATAAACCGTGTCTCGAGGCATCCCGGCCGAACATAAATTGCGCAATACGTCAAGTCGACTTAAATTTTCACTCGGAGCCTTAAAATTACGGATATCCATAATAATGGCGATTTGACCGTTAATGCGGATCCACCCCACGCGCCCCATGGTAAAAACGTCCGGCGGCGCGCAATCCGTCGGCCGCGGGTTTTTTCACGCCGTACACTTTTACTACTTGTACGAGTATATATATATATACGTAGTGCGGATTGAGCTTTATGATGTACGTCGTACAGCGGCGTGCGCAGTAGTGGGGAGGTGGCTGGTCAGTGTTATACCCCCCCCCATCACATTGGCACGAAATACAAAAAAAAAATACGAATAATCTCATGTCGAAATGCATTTCATATTTCAGCCGAGTTACGAGGAAAAACCTGACATATTGATTAGAAATTGGCCTATTTTAGGATCCGGCTTTTAAATTACCAATTCCCGCTGTCGATACGGATAGAAAATACGTAATTTATGATTTATTCACGATTCATATTTGCCACATCCCCTCGCGTTTGATAGTTCCTGGGCACGTCGCTGAGTCGTCACATACCTAGGCGTCTATACAATACAGTGAACCGAAGACGAGCATCGATAATAATAATAATAATAATATTATTATTATTGCGACGGCGGCGGCGGCAGTAAATCGACTTTCTATAGGTAAGTTTTGTCTATCGTCCGGGGGGCAACAGGTAATACATATTTTATCGTACGAAACAAAACACGTTTACTCTCTATTTTTTTTTTTCCCCCCGATTTTCAAACCACTTTCTCTCGGATCGTTTCGCCCCCTGTACACACACTCGTCGTACCTGATAAATAATAATAATAATAATAATATTATTATGTTTGTATTATCGTTGCGGTGTCTTCGCCGCGTGACGATAATTATATTACACCGCGCGCGACGACAAAAAACGTCGGCGGTCAATATAGAGAACGGAACACGAGAAAAAACGGTTTGCGGATGCGCGCGCGTCATTTTTTGCCGAAGGCGAAAAAAAAAAAACGAAGCGATACAAAAAGGAATAATAATAAACTGCGGAAAGAATACGGAAAGCAGAAAAAAAAAAACGGATAGCCCGATCGGGTCGCGAGAGGAAAACGACTCGCGGTTGGGGGGGGTGAGGCGGTGAGATTTTCAAAATCATTAGCGTGCAACGGCGGCGGTGTCGGCGGCGGCGGCGGCAGCGGTGGTGGCGGCGGCCGCACACCAAAAACCCGGCGCGGCTCCGTGTGATCGCGCCGCTTGGCGCATTGCAGGTGCCGGCGGGCCAATGGCTGACTGCCAAGGCCCGTTTGCCCGCAAAAATCCGATACCGCGGCGCGCGCGACGCATCAACCCGAAAATATTCCGGCCGGGCGGTGAGGTTACCTAACCGCGGTCACCGCTGCCGCCGTCGGACGATCGGGAGGGGGTAAAAAAAAAAAAAAAAAAACCGATTACCTAATATATTATTATTGTTCGATAGAAACGGAAACGATGAGGGAGCGTGAGAATATATTTACGTGTACGAGATACGTTCGAAAAATCGATGGCCGGGACGACCGTGGGCGCGGATTGGGGAAAAAAAAAAAAATGTATATTAAAAAATAAGAAATGGGCGAAATAGTGGAAAAGGTCGTAAATTTCGTCCACCTTCGGCCAGCCATAGACTGACTCGTAGTAGTAGTAGTAGTGGTGTTAGCAGTGGTAGTAATAGTAAAAGTAGTAGTAGTAGTAGTAGTATAAGTAGTATTAGTAGTTGTAGTAATAGTAGTAGTAGTGGTAGTAGTAGTAGTAGTAGTAGTAGTAGTAGTAGTAGTAGTAGTAATAGTAGACGGTGTATATGTATGTGCGTATATAATAATATAATAGCGTATTATTTTATTCCTCCTGCGCAGAGAGCCCGACAAACACATCCGGGGCGTACGAGCGCGCGCCGCTGCCGCCGGTGACGTCACGGCCGCCGTCGGTATCGCTTCGGTCGCTCGTTCGTTCCACGCACCGCGACCGCCCGTCACCAGTTTTACACTAAACGAGACCACCACACCAGTCAGCAGTCTACCTTTCGCGTTGTCCCACTACTACTCCACTCTACACGACTGTGCCGTGTGCCGCTGCCGTTGTAGTTTTTGCTCGTGCACACACATACTCGCACGGATTATTCCGGTCGTCGCGTTCGTGTTTGTCCAAACACAATACGAGTTTATTTTCCGCCGTTTGTCGACGCTTCTCTCGTCAACCCAACCGACCGTCCGTTCGCGTCGTCCCCGAGTCTGTGTACCGGCGTACCAATAAACCGACATCTACCCGGCCGGCTACAAAGCCGCTACACCACATTACGTTTGGAAACGCGGTTATCGCGGTATCCGTCGGAAGCGCGCGCGTTTAACCACACGTTGTAACCACCGCTCGCTCGGCGGGTGACACACGCACTACAGTCTACGACTACGTACACCGCACACGCACACCACACCGACACCGCACTCACTAGCACCGCCGCCGCGTCAGGAGCATCGTCTGCTGCTGCGTCGTGTCTATTAACCCAGTACACAATAACCGCCGCGCCGTCCGCGTCCGGTGATTTTTTCTCGTCGGTGTTTCGCAATCAATCAACATAAGTAAAATGGTAAGCGAACAATACTACAATATTTTAATTATAATTATTATTATTAGCAGCAGCGTTTATCGTTTGTCGTAATGGAATTACTGGCGCGCGTGTACCGGTCGGCGGCGTCCGTTGGGGAAAAAAAAAATACCACGGTGTCGGCGGCGTCGGTACCGACCGAGAGTCGGCGGCGGCGGCGGCGGCGGTCACGGCTGTTGCCCAGACCATTTATTTTTAGACTTCAGACCGTTATATAAATTATGTATATTTTTAAGTTTTTTTTTTTTTTTTTTTTTCCACTTCGGTTTTTTCGCAATCGGTTTGAGGTAGTCGTCGAGGCGTCCAACATGGCGCCGCCGCCGCGGCCGTAACGCGTTTTCGCGCTTCCCGCAGGTGACGACGTCGGCCGTTCGCCGATTATGTTCGTGTCGAATGTTTTCGTTTCCCACCAGAACGGCGATATCAAAGGAAATCCCTTCGTATCGACCGGGCGACGGCCTTGACCTTTCGGCTGGATCGAATCCGGCATTTTCGCGCGTAGGTACACCAAACAATGAAAATTTACTGTTGTTTAAATTGCGATTTTTTTTTTTTTTGTTTTACTCGCACGTATAATAATATGCAGCCGTGTGGCGGCCTGTGACGACGATGTGGGCCGCGCGCCGCCACACGGCCGGTTTTTTTTTTTATTACAGTGTGTCGCGTATCGGTCGGTGAAAAATTCTCTTCGATTTCGCGTAGTTTTTTTTTTTTTTATCATTATTGTCCATTTGAAGTCTGTTTAATGTGTACTTAGTATTTACATGTCGTCGCGCGCCTTCTCGTGTTGTTTAATATTTATTTATTATTTGTCGCGATCGTTCTACTCCGTGCACGCCGCCGGTCGTCGGCCGACAGGCTTCGTGTCGGGGAGGGGGCGGGGGAGGGTGATCGGCGTCGGCGGCCCCTCCGCCTGTACCGTCACCGACCGTTGCGGAGGTGCGGTGGACATTCCCAGAATGTGCCGGTTCGACCGATAATAATGATGATGATGATGATGATGATGATAGTAATAATTTGTTATTCTCGTACATTACAAATAATAGTAATAATGGGTCCGTGTCGCCCGTTTTATATGGCTATAATGACAAAAGAAACGAGGTGGCAATTCTGGTTTCATTTCCCGTTTTTTTTCCCCCCCGATCTCCGTCTCCCGCACCCACATATAATTAATTTTTCGTGCGCGTACGTTAGCGTTTTCTGCCCGCTAACGCCATCTAGTGCCGACGCGTCGCACTTCGTATTCCTCCGTCCCGCTCGTTGATTGCTGCGGTGCGCCTGCGTACTCCGGGTTTTTCGTTGATAAGTCGTTCCCGGCGAGACCGGGAATTCTTGTTCGCATTTAGGGGCGTTCGTTTTGCACACTCTTTTTGATTGTGCATCCGTCTTATTTTTCGTCTTTGTAAATCACTCTTATGAAACTACAGTTTTTACACCGAGTACGAATAATGTTACTATTATGCCCAAGAAAATGTGCTTTAAGGCTATTGTGGGAGATATGAGGGCGTGTTAAGTTGATAAGGAAACTGCTATAAGCTGGGATAAGTGGAGAATAAGAATTAATAAGAGTAGGAGACAATCTCACATTCGTGGGATAAAGGCGTAGAAGCAAAAGTAAACAAAAACGTGTTTTCTAAAACCATCTATTTCCTATTCTTTGGTTTTTCACTGGGTATACACTAATGAATTAAAACATTTGTGTTATGGGGCCAATATAATAATTTTGTTTATAAGCCTTAAAAGTTATTATGAAATATCTTACTTTACCATGTACCATCAATCTAAGTTGTGTTCAGAATTGTTTTTATACCTAATTATTAAGGCTGCCTACAATCTTCTTATGTGTGTTTAAAAAGTATTTTGATTTTATTGGAATCATTCAGAAATATTACCTGAAACGACCTTGGCCTTTTGACCTATACACCTACCCGTGATTGATTTTTCAATTTGCAACAGTTAATTATTAGTTTTTCATCTCCTATATTTTAACAGTATGTCTGTTTGACTGTCATATTGTTATTTTATTTTATTTCATTGATAATAATTTTCTTGTTTATTAAAAGTAGCATATGATATTGAAATGAATTAGCCATAATTTAATTATTTTTTAAATGTTAAATGGAAAAAAATAAATACACTAATTGATTTCATCAATAATTTTTCACAGCTTTTATTTAGCTTCTTGACATTTAAACAAATTTACAATAATTAGTACATTAATGTAAACAAATTGGATTTAATGTATAAAATGTATCTATGTGTATCTATATCTACTTCCTAATAAACTTCGAAATAATAATTATAATAATTAATAACCATATTATATATTATATATATAATTATATATAATATATATTATATATATATATATATATATATATATATATATATATAAATGCATAATAAATTCAAAATAGTAGTTTGAGATAACTTTAACAATTATATTTTAATTTTTAATAAGTATAAACATCATTGACCTAGCAATCAATTAAATTAATGTCAATTATATTATAGGTAGGATTTTCTATTGTTTTTTTTTTCATTTGTAATTGTGCCAGGAAAATTTTAAGAATGTGATTTAGCTTTAGCTAATCATCTGTGTTTATAATATTACTGCCTAGTTGTTAACCTATATTTGTGTTGACAATATTAAGGCAAATTAAATTATTGACTTAGTGCATTATATATTATGTAGTGGAATCATTTTATACCTATCTATACCGATTTAAAAAAAAAAAAATGAAGGTAATTTTTATAATTCTATTTAATTGTTTACTCTTTAATCTAAATTAAATGCACTATTTATTTATTTATTTATTTATTTAAGTAAATGATAGATCATTTTAGTATAAGCATCGCCATTTCCTTAAGTCAAATTATATTTTATATTTGAAAAATAAAAATTATGTCCCTACTTGTATAAGATCTTTATAATTGAATTTTTTTTTTTTTTAAAATATAGGCTGATCAACTTACAGAAGAACAGATTGCTGAATTCAAAGAAGCGTTCTCGCTATTCGACAAAGATGGTGATGGCACCATCACTACTAAAGAACTTGGAACCGTCATGAGGTCATTGGGCCAAAACCCGACTGAAGCTGAACTCCAAGATATGATCAATGAGGTTGATGCTGATGGTATGTTCATTTAAACTATAATTGTGTATTTTATTTATTTTACGAATTAAAACTGTGATTTCTGGTTTTTTAGGTAATGGAACGATAGATTTTCCCGAGTTCTTGACTATGATGGCTCGTAAAATGAAGGATACCGACAGTGAGGAAGAAATCAGAGAGGCTTTCCGTGTGTTTGACAAGGATGGAAACGGCTTTATTAGCGCAGCTGAGCTGCGTCATGTAATGACTAACCTTGGGGAAAAGCTCACTGATGAGGAGGTAGATGAAATGATCAGAGAAGCTGATATTGATGGTGATGGTCAAGTAAACTACGAAGGTAATAAAGTGGGAATTTCTCCACTCTTATACATTTATTTATAATTGTAAATGTTGTTTATTATTATTATTATTATTTATATTATAAAATATCTGTAATCAAATGGTTCAAATTATTAATTTTTCTGTTGGACACATTATGGTAGGGTAAGTGATTGCATAGGCTTTTATCAACAAGTGCAAAATGCAAGTCTCTTATTGAGCAGAGTGTGGTAAAAAAATCCAATTTTTTTTCATTTTCCTACTGTTACTCTCTGTCGATATGTATCCTAATGTTGATTCCGAACTAGAAATTAATAAATACATTTTATTTAAATAATTGTTTAATAGTTTTATACTCTACTTATTTTATGTTAATTACACTTTTGGTCCTTTATTGCAAATTAATATTATTTTTATTAAATTGATTTATTTCATTAAAGATCTGTTCAAAATGTGATTAAAAATATTTTAAATATATTTGTATTCTCTCTTATTATATACTATTTTTAATTAGCAGTAAATTAGTTCCTTGACCACAAAGAGAGTATGTATATGTCAAGGTCTCTTGTATGTATATGAGTTCCTCTATTCCATCATAACTCTTAAACTTCTAAATCGATTTAGATGTGGTATGTGTAACGTAGGCTAGGTGACTTCTAAAAAAACTTGATGGGGGTCACCAAAAATATTAAAAAATTATACACTTTACATGTGTATAGTGCCAGTTAAATATTATAGAAAAATATGTTAATATGTTCTAAATACCAATCTAAATTACCAAATAATGTTTCACAGTGTTCGGTATGAAGAACAGACTTTGCACTAGGTAGGTATAATGTGAGTGTGGGTACATATAAACTTCTCAAGAGAATAAAATATTTTTTAACTTTTGTATCAATTGATGTTACAATATTAGACTATTTGGTTAAAACCAGACAGTAACAGTTAAATCACTTCAACATTTTAATTATTATTTATGAATGAAAAATTTAATTTTGTTACCTACTTATATTTGTATAAATTTCACATATTATTTTAGATTCTGAGTAGAACGAGGAATGTATTACTTTTACAATGATGTTTATTTTTTTTTTTTGTGAACAACTTTTCTACCAGAAATTTTGTTCTAATTTTCAAGTGTAAGACTTTTTCTTAAGGAAAATTTTTGTGGGGCGGTACTTCAGGAAAATCGTTTTTTTATTTTCCTAGGGGTCTTCATGATAAATAAAAAATGTATGAAATGTATTATTTTAAAATCATAATGGTCTTTCAAAACATGCATAATAGAACTATGCTCAAAATTGTTAACAACAGTGGCCCACACTTATCATGTGAATTATGTACATTTGTTTTTAAATAATATCTGGGCCTCATATTGATAATTTTATATTGTTCCGAATAGATCATACATGTTTTGTATCGCCTATATTAAAAACTAATAAATTTAATTGAATACATTATTATTATTGATTATAAACATAATTTGTATTTTGTTAAATGACATTGTTGCAGTTATGCAAACTATGCCACTAAATACTAATCTTCATGTTAACTAATTTTAATTTGGCTAAAAAAAATGATAAGGGGTTTTTAATTATTTTTAGCTTCCTTGTTATTATTTATTATTGCGTTTCTAAATTTTTTAGCTTGTTACTAATTTTGACTTTTAGGTAATTTGTATTTATATTAATTAATTTCAGTGTAGATTACTTTAATACAATAGACAATCAAAGAAATTTAAAATTTGGGGATCTTAGAGTATTCCCATGGTTGTTAATCTGTTGTTTTCCTAATGTTTTCACAACTCAACTAATTACATTTATTATAAATCTACACTAGATTGGGTTTGTATAAAATAATATCCACAAAGAAGAATTATTCTTATTAGTTACATATTTTTGAAATTATTGATGTGTATGTAGTCATTATTATCACTTATTTATAGGCATACAAATAGTTAGGTATTTCAGTGTTTTCTCTTTTTTAACATTGCAGATTTCCATACTTTAGCTTGGACCATTTTTGTACGTACTATGGCCGTGGTCAGTGCTCATATCTATATTTGTGTTTCTTTTTTCTTTTTTTTTTTATATATATATATATATATACATATTTTTAAAAACTTATTTCCATTATTATCCATATTTTCAGTGTGAAATTTTGATCAACTATGTCAATAACCATTCTATTGCCATTTGACTGATATTATGAACCCCTAGATCACCTTAAATCAAACAACCATTATTATTATTATTATTATTTACATGATAATTTCATTTCTAGAAATAGTTGTGCATGTCTATTTGGCAATGATTAAAATGTGAATTTAGATACGTAGTTTTTTTGTGTTTACGCATGAGTGTCATTTCTACATTTCTATTTAAACTAATATCCTTTTATCATTATTTACTTTCCATTTTTCCTTAGTTGGTTCTTTTTTTTTTAGCATACATTTTACGGGTACAACAACGAATACAAGATTACCTTATGGGGAATATAAAACCGCAAAAGAAATCAAAAAGCAAAAAGAAAACTTAGTATCCTTGCATCCCACTTCCTGTACTTTTGGTTGTAAAATGTTTTATGAAATATTTGTTTCTAATTTATTAGGTAGAATGTGTACATGATTGTAACAATTGTTGTAATAATACCTTTTATTAATTGACATGTTTGTATTCTGTTTCAGAGTTCGTGACCATGATGACTTCTAAGTGAAATGTGTTTCATTATTAATTATTATTATGTAATTTTTTATCATAAATTTTTTTTTTTTCAAAAAAAAAGAAATTAACCTGCATTTTTTTTTGTTCGAGTAAGCTTTAAAAAGATAATGTGATTATCAAAAAGTAAACGAATATTAATTATCTTTTTACCACATTGGAACTCTGTGGACTTTTTTTTTTGTTGAGACATTTGTTTTACTATCATCTTTATGGTTAATTTTTTTTTTCAATTTCACCAAAATCAGTTCTTTTATTTGGCGGTGAATCTGCCGTGTAAATTTTGTAAAAAAAAAAAACAACCAAAAAAATTATTCCCGGCGGCAACGTGTTTTTTTCTTTTTTATTAATATTATTATAACTATTCGTTTCAGTTTTTGCTAGCAATATTTTCGTCTTAACATATTATATTATTATATATACATTTATGGTAATATAATAAACAAAAAAAAAAAAACAAAAAAAAATAATAATAATAATAATCTTAAGTTTAAAAAATTATATTATACATAATTTGTTTTACACTTTAAAACATAATTTTAAAATCTTGTAATTTTTACGATTAATTATAATCTCCAGTGTTTTAGTAATTTATTATTATTATTATTATTATTATTATTATTATTATTATATTATTATTATTATTATTATTATTATTATTATTATTATTATTATATAAATATTAATTATTATTAAATATTAGGACGTTTTCACATTCCTCACTCACCGATAAAATTAAACATATATATATATATATATACATATATATGTATATTTTTTTTTTTTTTAAAGCTATAATAAATCAATCGATATTCAAAACATTTTACATAATATTTTGGCATGATAATAACTTATTAGCCTATTAAAAGTTATTGTAATTTTTTTTCCATGATTATTATAATTTTTAAAAAGTATATAAAAAGACACACATTAAACGCTTTTTTTCTTCACTTGTAAAAAAAGAATTGAAATTTTTTTTCCTCGATTTAAACAGTCACACAATTATATTATGCACGTCTTTCACACACATCCATTTGGATAATAATTGTAATAAGATTATTATGCAAACAAATACAACGCTGATGTATATACATAATATAATATTGTTACTAAAAGTATTATTCTTTTTCGAGTATAGTACTACCCTCTGTCTACATTGTTTAACAGTTGAAAGTGGATGAATAATAATCGCTTGTGGTGTCTGACGTGATTAAATAAAATTATTGCTATACTATATTTAATTTTCTTTTATAAAACATAATAATATAATATCTAATGTATTCAAAATAAATTTATTGTTAATAATGTTTTTGCGGTGCATGGTGTGTAAATTGTTAATTTAAAGAGAAAATACCATAATTGTAACGAATGTGAAAACATGGAATATTAATAGATGTGGATGAGGATCACAACTGGAGATTAACAATGCCGTGGACCGCTTAAAACGCTGCCACCAACTTGAGCTTTTTCCGTTATTTCTTCACCGTCCTGTGCCTGCAGTATTATAAAATATTATGTTATATATGTATGTGTGTGTATATATATATATATATATATACATAAATTGTAAGTTAGTGCGCATTAGTATACTACTAGATTTTTGACATTTTTCTTCATATATATATATACAAATTTATTTATTTATTTTTTATTTATTTATTAGGTTATTTTATATATATTTTAATCTGTTTTACTAGACTTTTGGTTGATAACCGCAGTTGTCCTACTTTTTGTCTAATAAACACATTTTATCATTGTTTACTTGTTCTTGAAGTAGTAAAAAAAAACCATCTACTGGTAAAATATGATTTTCTCCGTCATAAAATACAGATGATTTAAAATAAAACCTTTGATTTAATTTTTACTGTATTTCACTAAAAACTCACCATAATAGAGTGTACATTTTTTTTAAACTTATGGATTCACCTGATGGTGTATATAAAAAAGATTATGTAGAAGTAACAGATATATGAAAATAAATTATTAGCTACATAAAAAATGATATGGGTATTACCGATAGATACTCTGTTGTAGTCTTAATTGATTGCTGTCATCTGCAATATTTTATTGGGTTGGTCATATTCCAATTAGTTAGTAAAATTAACCCAGCAATACCAATGAAAAACTATCTCTATGTAGGTAGGTTAGCAATAGTAAGACTAACCAGGTCACTTAACTCATAGTACTGATTTACTATTACTATGGAAAAATGTAAAATCTGGCCTAAATGTTAATGAATTGTGAAATCGTCATGTACAGTGGTGGTCAAATGATTTTATTATGGTGGGGGTGGGAAGAATAAATTCTACGGACTTCTTATGGTTTAGATATAGTATATGGATTATATTTTGATTTTTTAACTGTGCTCACCTCATTTTTGTGGTTAAAGTTTGCATAAATTTGAATTCTGCTCTTTGAAATGTTTAAATGTAATGAATCACGATTTTTTTGAATACTTTGATTTTCTCAGGATTTCAGTAGTAACTTGTGGCAAAAACAACTTCAATCGAGAACTTACATATTTTAATGCAAATTATCAATCTGGCGATTTTTTTGTAATATACTTGCCTATTAACATTTGTAATCGGCAATTTGAACGAAAAATTTCCTATACAGTTATTCTGGTTTAAATATTAAGGATAATAGCCTTTTATGGGGATTGGATACCAACTGTATGTAGGGGATATCTCATTTTGAATCTTGCAGTTATTATCCTTCAGTATTACAAGTAGAACAATTCAGAAACTTTTCGTTCGTATTCGAATACATGGTACATCGAAATTTACAGAAAGAACATCCGATTGACATTAGATCATCATGTAGGTTTTAATAATGCAATGAAACTGGTTTGGTATTAAAACGGAAACCATCTTAACGTAGGTTAACGTTTATCGGGTACAGTGGTTTAATAAACTTAATAAGTACTTTCTCTGACTGAACTCTATGGTCCATATGGTAAAAATGATGTACCTAAAACTAACGATAACAGGTTATCATCGAGCAATGGCTGACGGCAGCTGCTGTACACTAATAACAACATTTACCTACTGTTAATAAGTAAGTCGCAATAGTTACCTAGCGTTTGGTGATTTGTTTTTGAGTTACATAGTACATTTTCAAAAATAATTACCAATGCATTCTAATTGTAAAACGAAGAAAATTACAATCAAGAATTCAAAGGTTAGAAACTACTTTAAAGGCGGCGCTGAAAAGTGCCGCATAAGACGAGCTGCCGTGTTACCTATTGGTGGAAATTACGAGAATCGGTGAAAGCTTAACTGTTTTAAAATTAAGGTAAGACGTTTGATGTTTTTATCGAATATTAAATGCCAACTCGACTAATTATCCATTTTTTTCTTCTTTTTATAGATTTATATTTATTACCTAACTATTTAAAATTTTATTATTAATTAACTACTATTTATTTAAATATAGAATAATGTACCTTGAAACTTGACATTAGATTTTCACTGGTTAAAAAAATATTTTCTTCATTCAATACTTACTGAACACGGACAAATAAATTTAATAAACATTTGTAAATAAAACTATTCGCTTCGTCTAGAATTTTCAATTAAAAATTAGCGTTACCCCCAAATCGTTTATAAATATTTATACAAAAAGAAAAAAAACAATTGAAATCACTTTTGTTCGAATCGGCTATTTGTCTATTTTATATTCCTATGTATATTTTGTTGTGCAATTGTGTGGTGTTTGGACAATTCTTAGGACCTATGTTTTTTTAAAAAGCCAATACAAATAAAACTAATGGTACCAAAACAAATCTGGTTATGTGTTGATTAATTGCCTATATCTATCACTTATAGTTTTAAAAAAAAAATAACAATAAATTAATAACTAGGTAAACTAAATAAACTAATAGGACTAAACCATAAACTAAAAGGCAAAACTTAAAAAAAAAACTTCTGTTTATAAAGAGCTTGGATCAAAAAGAGCCAATGTCACTTTTGGTGAAAATGTGAGTCATATAGCCATCATTATATAGCCCACGATTGGCTATATAATTTTACATGCTTTTTCTAGTGGTAAAAGGGCGTACCTATCTCAATGATTATCAGTATGAGATTTGAGAAGACCAATTATTTTGTTGGGAAAATTATTGCTGTATCAAAAAGGCCCAAAAATTTGTTTTATTCTTAATTTCTCAAAATTTATTATGAGTGGTCTTTTTTGACCTGAGCTCCGGAAATATTTATGCGCCCAATGGAAAACAATGTAGATAGGTACCCACCTAATTTTATCTGCATTACAAGTGCATTTAAATAAAAACAAACATGTGCTGATACCACTGATGAGTAATGGGTGTGTCACTATTGCAGGTATAGGAAGTTGGGTACACATAATATATGCCTAGTTATTTAATTTATATCTGTAAAGCCTCCCGTACACTGCGATGAAACACGACGGTTTTCATCGTTGTGTACGTATGGGAAGCTTTAACTAAATGAGATTCCGAGCGAAATTCAGTTATAAACATTTTGAAATACCGTTATTTTTACGATTTTCATCAAAATATGATTGAGATCAACTTTTATTTAAATCACCGGGTTAAACTTATAATGAGCATCAAATTAAATCGTTAAGCATTTGTGTTTAATCAAACCGTTTTATCCGCAGAATACTCATCTACCAAATAAAAACTCGCAAATATGAAATGCCTATAAATAGCTTTTAAATAAGGTTTTACCACGTATGGGAAAGTCCTACAGTGTTATGCTTGATTATTCTGTCAATATTAAAATTTTCTTTTTTTCAATCGGGTGTTGCGTGATGGGGGGGGGGAGACTTCATATGAAGAGAAATTTATTTATTTTTATCCATAATTTTTTTCAGCGATCATTAAGGAAAACAAGACACCATAATCGAAAACCGTTAATGAAACTATTAATGACGTAACCTATCCCATTATAATTATTAGTTAAATTAGAACGGTGTTGTATGAATTAAAACCGACGAGTAAAGCCAGAACGTTAGTTTAAAAGAGAGTTTTTTATTTTAACTTTAACTTTCCAACTAGTTATTGCCCAGCTTTGGAGACGCCGCATATCTAATTAAATTATTATGAAGATAAGTAATAGCGGAATTACAAAACACATAAACTATGATGCATTAAAAACTGCCAAATTTTGCTGCAACCAATGCATAATGCATTTAGTGTCAAGTTAAAGATTCTAACGGGTTGTATACAAATAAAATCACACGACTCAGTAGGTAGGTACTAGTAGGTTGTATGTGCAGTAAGTATGCCTCGCGGCGGCGGCGGCGGCGGCGGCGGCAGTGTGGACTTCTCGCAACACAGATTGTCAGGAACAGGTAACGCGCTCTCAGTGGACATAAATTTATTGATGGCATTTTAACAGAATAGGTAGGCATATTGGACAGGGCCATGTCTGAATGGGGGGAGGGTGCGAGAGGTGCCCACGTAAAGGGCAATATGACGACAGGGATGTCATTGAAAATGTTTAAATTTCTGTAATTGAATATTTTTTTAATAAATAAACGTTTGAGTGGACCTGAGTTTGGGCCTTTTTTTTTTTTGTTTCTCGTTAAATTTTTCTGGCCCGAGTGCCGATTTTTCTAGGCACGGCAATGATGTTAGAATATAAACATTTAAATAATTATATACGTGTATATTGTACAGTATGATCACGTCGTGTGTCGTGATGATGTGTACTTACAGTGAGAAAAAAAAAAAAAAGAATATTATAAAAATGCACGAATGCTGTAATGGGCGGTGAATTGTGAACAAATTTCTCAAAATCGTAAAAAAATGCCGAAAAAACATTTATCCCACGAATAGGATCGTCGTTAACTTTTCTAGCAACGGTATCCAACAACAGTCGATTTGTTTATTTTTGTATTTCTGTAGTATCACTATCAGAATAAACTTTTGCAACGTTCTTTTTTTTTTTTTATTTTACTTAGCTTATGTTTTACACGTGTACACGACCAATGTAGGTCAACAACTGAGCTTTATTGATAACGACCATAGAGCGTCAATAGTGGCAAATCCTATGATAACAAATAATAATACACTTATAATAAATGTAAATAATATCTTTCCCCTTAACTGATAATGTAACAAATCAAGAAACAAATTAATTAACGTAGTAATATAACAAAAATATAGATAATATTTCACAACAAATAATAGCTAGAATAAAAAATTAATTAATTAATAATCATTAATTTTATTCTGATTGAGACAATATCATAGTGTTGACTAAATATTTTAGGTGGTCTTACATATTGACCACTTCTCGTATATATTCGGTGTTCTCTATTTTCTTGATGATTCACTTCCTCTCCCTTTTCCTGATTGCTCTTTTCTGCTCCTTGTGTTCCACACGTTATTTTTGCAACACTATTCGACACGTTTTTCTAATATGTAGTACTGCAATGTTTTTTTTTTACCAATTCATTTCTACTTGGTCCTAAATGATATAGGTTTATTCCTATAATTCTCCCATTTTTCCGTATTATGTATGACCTAGGCGTTTCCGTCTCCTTAAATACTACAACTGGTGTCCAACCACACCTTTTAATCATTACTGTTTGTCTCTTTATTAATTCAAACTCCTTTATAATTGCCCGTATATCATACCAGGGTTTTGTAATAATCTTGCGATTTTATTTGCCACTCCCTAATATCCTAAACTTTAGGTCTAGAAATTTCTGGATAGCAAATCTGCTATGTGCATATATTTCCCTGGCAAATATTTTAATACGATGTTATAGTTAAGAAGTTTAATTCGCATCTTTTGTAGTCTGATAGAATTTTATCAATAGATTTGTTCGTTATTACCACAAGTGGTTTATGGTCTGCTAGTACAGTAATAGATCTACCATAAACAAAATAATTTAATTGCCTGCATGCAAAAATAATGCTTAAAAATTCTTTCTCGATCTAGGCATAACG